ATTGATAAATGTGGATGTATTTTTTTAAGGCGTTTTGAAAAAATTGAAACAATAAATTCGAAATAATTTTTGTAAAAATTATATCTTATGATCAACTGCAGCCCACGGACCGAATGCGACCCGCCTAGAGTTTCTATCCATTTTCAATTTTAATGTTTTTAAAAATGGCGTGTATGACTGTCTAATTGTATAATATGTATCGTCTAAGCTGTATAGACTAGATATAGACTGTATAGTGGTAGACCCAATAACGCGGGCAAGCGGGGTCATTTAGGACCTTGCGGCGTGGTGTTGCGAGAGCTGGTACGTCCTTCTGGGGTCTCTTCCTGCACCGACACAGGAACTCAAGATCCTTACTTCAGGAGGCGGATAGATAGCGACCGAAGCCGGGCTGCGGTGGGGGTTAGTTACCCCGCGCGATCTGATCAGGCCCGCAAGCACCTTCGGGACCTTGCAGCGGGGTTTTGTCTTTGCTTGAGGAGCCCCAGCCAGGTAAATCTTAACTGCAAACATGGTGTTACCCGTCTTATTCTCTTCAGGAAATAGGCAATCAAGACTGTATTGACTAGACATGATTTGTATCTCCAAAAAATGTATCAAAATATTTGCGATTAAGCGATTAAGCGGATGGCCCAATTATCCGAATTTCCATTTCTTATTTGCTCGGTTTATTTTCCGTTCTTTAAGATTTGTCCTTAACAAGCGGCTGTCCCGATTAACCCAATTAAGCGGAATCGACTGTATTACTATATTATTATAACAGGTTAGGATTCTAATTAGAAAATGATCGCGAACGATATGTAAAATTATTTATAATTCAAATAATGACATGATCAATTTACTTAAAAATTGATGTCTACTGAGGAAGGAGTAAAATTAGTTTTTATGTAGAAGTGTTCGAGATTAACGAAAGATTGACTTGTTATCCAACCGTATTATTGAATGCGAAATGAATATAATCGCACTATGCGAAGTATTTAGGTAAGTTTTCTTGGAAGAAAAATTTAAACTTTTTAGAGTATAAAATGTAAAGATATATTATTAATTATAATGAAATAGTTGTCCAAGATAATTATTTAATACATGGTTTTATAATTCTTTCAGATCTATTTTTATCTCGTTCAAGAGAATTTATGTTTATTGTATGCAAGCGACATTAATACTCTTTGTAGAATGAAATTTGGTACAGTTTATGGATAAAGAGGTCTGGTGTGCTGGTAGTATTTCTAATGTAATTTACTCGAAACAATGGAATAGAATCAGCTGAGAATACGTGCCATTCTCTGGTGCAGCTTCAAGTCGGAATAATGCAGAGCATGAATTTATCCCCAGCCATTGGGACGTGCAATTATTGTGTCTGCGGAAATTCTTTTCGCCCTCTCTTTATGTTATTCAGGCCGCATGTGGTGTTAGAGCTCCTCTTGTATAGTCGAAATTCGTTACAATAATGCAAATAAATTGCCGTCGTAAAGCAAAGTACTAAATGCTTTCGCGCCAATACAAATGGCCCACCTATTCTATTTTTCCCATTTAGCGGTCCCAGGCTGCTACGTAAAGGGCCAAAAAAGGACGACAATTACGTATCCCTGATTCCTCTTTATTGTGCCTTTTCTTTCGTTTTATCCGTACGCAGGCACTACGAAAAAGAACTTTTCAGCAGCGCCAGTTCTTCAATGCATTTTTATTTCTGTATTTTCGCTTTTATCGGAATGTTTCCGTTTCATCGATTGTGAATATTTCTTTTATATATTGAAGCTTGCTGTCTCTTACAATATATTCATATTTCATATCTGGAATCGTTATATGACAAATATTTAGAAAAAAATGTTTTACAAACAATTTATATAAATATATTTGTAAAATTTGTAATATTTATGTATGATATAAAGGTTAATACGTGTACAATACATTATGTTTATTAGTATTAATAAGGAAAGATTGCAAATGATTACTTATATTTGGGCATTTTAATGTTTTATACATCATAAAACAAAGAAAAATTGAAGAAATTAAAAATTGATGTAACGATGACCTTTTATTATTTATTAGTTTTTCAAGCTAAACTAAATTAACGCTGTTAATTGTCTGGATAATTGTTGCAAAGTTACATAATAGGAATGTAGGATGTAGATTACTATTATGTGAACTATGTCAAATCTTAAAAGTTGAAACATTTTTGTCAAATGTTTTCCATTATGATCAAGTTTTACCTTCATCTCTTTTTTCCATTTAGACTGTATTTAAGCTTATTGCGTATCAAGAAGAAACAAGTTCATTTTCTCTTGATATGTAACATATGTATAATAATATTTATTGATACTATTTACAACGTAATTAATTGGTACCGTGTTATGTACCAGTCAACCTTCATAGGGTTATTTCTGATTTACTTGAATGTTGCATTTTTACTTAATCTTGATATATCCAAGATTATTGAATGCTTATTAGTATATATGTTTATATCTGATGGACAGAATTATCATTTTTATTTATCTCAACCGTGATTTACAAAGATTTGTTTCGTTATGTCATCTTTAGTCGTAAAATATTAAATCAAGGTTTTCTTATAAGAAATATATTACAAAGTCTGGATTTTGCATCGAGTAAAAATGCAATGTCATTATTACTGTTTAAATAGGTGCAGAATACTAAGAAAACTTGAATGATTCACTATGACCATTATTTTTGTATGACCATTATAATTGTATTAAAAAAAAATAAAATATTTAAATAAATTGATTACATTTTGTCGATTACTATAAAATATAATAAAAAAAAGTACTTACTTTGATGCTTTCTACCAGGAGAAAACGTAATTGTCGATTAACATGTTTTTATTATAAGATTTATTATTCATTTAAATAATTCTCTATGTTTAAATTTCCATTAGAGAAGACCTTAAAACCTGCAGCAAATTGCACGTAGTTACCTAAAGATTTTTTCAATCCAATTTTCCCATTGCCCATATTCTCGAGAAGTATAGAAAGTCAGTTCAGATTAAGGAGTTGCAAACTATGAAAATATGTACAAAATGCTTCAACCAGATTTCTCCCGCTTTCCCAATGAGCAAAGAAATAACAAACGGTACCGACCGTCCAATTGTGTATGCACCACAAATGCTGCAGCTTCACTGTTCAACAAGAAACAAGAAATAAATAGTGCGAATAATGAGAATGAAAAGTAAATATTCCAGAATATTTGTTCAATTTACCAATTCCATTAACTAGGAAGCATCGAAATGACATTAGGAAAGTATTTACCGAGGAAATTAAATGAGTATGGTGAAATGAAGAGGAGACACGACGCATATGCTTTCGTTATGTGAATTGATTGCGTCCGTGGTTAGTTTAATGGTTTGTTTTAGTATTTTATTGCTGGAATCCTCTTTTTTACATCATTTATACAACTCAGTGAAAGTAAACGGAGAATGCGCCACTCGACCAGCGGAATAGAACGCGAATTATCTTTTATATCTTCACGTAATTGCGTTTCTCGGAGTTTAAATGAATCCGGAAACCTTGCGTTGCTTAGAAAATACTAATAATTAAACCATAAATGCATGCACGTAACGATATTTTATTACATTATTCATTGCAAATTTCGCCGTAAAATAAATTTATTCGCATTTTTTTTTAACGTACAAATTTTTAGTAATTAACATTTCATAATTATACTAAGAAACCGCAGTTTGCTTTTTAAATTATTTAGTAATTAAAACAGTAAATTTCTTTAAATAATTATTTTAATTACCAGAAACTTTCAAACTTCAAAAATTAAACTATTGTGCAGAAATTTGATGCAATATAAAATTTGCTTTAGTCCGAAATTTATAGAAATAATATAAAATTCTTATTTGTACAAAATTTATTTAATTATGTCATCTAAAAACTATAGTATTTAAAACATAGCATAACTCATAATCATGTAACAAGATAAATAAATATAAATTATTACAATTATAAGTTTATTTCAAAAATATTGTTTGCAATTAAGGCGTATTATACATGAAATTTATTGTGCAATTTTCTGAAGAATAAGGATAATACATTAATTTGTAATAAATATTTTTTATTTATTTTATGTTATAATTATAAAAATAATGATTTTCTTTATACAAATATAAAGTATTATTATTAATAAATAGCTTTTTTATAATTGAAACCAATTAAAAATGATATCATTTGCAAATGCGCACATTTTGAATAATAGTAATTGTGATTTTTACTTTATATCTGATTATAAGTAAAGTTAAGGTTAGATAGCAAACATAGTATTAATTGTAACATTGCTCCTGGCTTCCAATCAGCGGAAACCTTAATCACTTGTAAATACTTTATTTGCATACTAGATATGCAATTTATATATGATTATGATTAATTTCAACATACAAAAGTCACATAAACCGTTTTATTCGCTTTCTTATTAAATATGCATATATATATTAGCAAACTGTTATTGGAATTCCACATCGGAAATTGTTTATGCAATCGCATTAAAGGCATTTCTGCATATTTAATATAAACCTGATTATACACACATGTGTTTGTTAATTGTTTTGTTTATTATGTATAAAGAAAATATTTTTTATTAAAATAACAGTAACATTATTCAAATGCTGTAATTATATAATTATAAAGTTTATAAAACTAGCCCTATACTGCAATGCCTCGCATAGTGCGGCTGCAATCAATCCGAACCAAAATTATTTTAGATTAACAGCGTCATGCAGTTATTACAATTTGTAGAAATGGTAAAAAAAATCTCTATTGAAAAATAGAAGAAATCAGAGTATTTTGTGATAATTTATCAAAATTAAACATTGTCCTTAATACACAAAGGACAATGCTGTTAATCTGAAAGAACTCAACAAATGTAGTTTGTTTGTTAATATTGTCGATGATATAATGAAACAATTATATTTATTTATTAATAACAAAATATGTTAGTTGTTATTTTCAATTTTGTTGTTAAAAACTCCTAATTATTTTTCTCTTTTACAGAACCACGGATTGGGAGCAAATCTATCATATTGGTAAGTGTCAGTAAACTAGTGCTGCCACTAAATAAAACATGAAAAAAAGTATTGTATTTTATGGGTAATATCTTGAACCCAGTGCGTACATAAAAAGGGCATAACATGTAATTTTTTTTTGGCAGGCTCATTTTGTGTGCGCCTCAACCCTTATTAAAAGCCACCACGTTTATATGACAAAAAAAAAACAATAAAACTGCATCCGTTAATGCCCCCGGTGTGGTGGTATATCATAAACATGCAAGTCTGCAATTACTCCACTTCTGATTTATTACGAGAAATACAACCCGTGTTGTATACGTACACAAATGGAACTCGCTGGATGATGTTCGTATAATGAACACGTTTTGTTCCCCAAATGGGGATTTAAGGAATCTCCACGTCACGGTTAACTCCCATATCATAATACAATATTATAATCAACATCAAGTATGTTTCATTTAATTAACATTAATTAATTAAAATACAATAATGATTTATGCGAATTTAGTTATGAATTTTTGCATATGAAATTTTGTATGCAATTTAGATGAGCCTGTCCCAACATCCGTGATTTCAATAAATAGAAATGCTTTTGACAAAACAGAGCAAATATTGATTATCCTCGTGCATATATTAAAATTTATATAGTACAATATTAATTCCAATGTAAACATAGTACACGGCGTAATGCATATAAAATAGATACATGCACTTGGCACAGCAACAACAACAACGCCGGAGTTGGTATATTAAAATGGCAGACAATTTATTTATATAGAAAATGGATTTACATAATTTTTATTTTCGCACAAATTAAATTTTATGGGGTCGTACGGACGACATGTATATATGTACGTACGTGCATTCATACCACTGGGCGCAGGTTATTTTTATTTTGCAGTCATCCCTGGCTCTCGTTTTTCTCCCGCTCTCGGCTTTTGTGATATGAATTCAAATATAAATATTTGCATGCGTGTAGTAATGTTAATAACAGGTCCGGAATTTTTAAATATCCCTTCACTTCATTCCGCCTAGTTCATTTAATCTGAAGGAAATTTCTAAATAAAAATATAAAATAAAAATATTAAGCCAGTTTTTAATTAAACAATACCGTATGTTTCTTATGAAATATACTCGCTGTAAAAATGGATGAAATATGTAAATTTTTTGGTAAAATTATTCAGATATGCAAAGGACGTTACCTATTTGTTTCACTTTGTTCGTTGCTTTTAGAAATCAATTAAATTCAATATCGATTCTTTATGTGAAGGTGATACTTCTATTGTCATTAAAAAGACTTATCTTAAAATGTATTCAAATTTACGTACGCTAAGCGAATGTAAGTTAATTTTAAAGTTCTCATGTAATTACATGCATTTATATATTTTTGTATATCCGTACGAACGTACAAGATTATGGAAGTTCCTGAAGTTATTGATTGTTTCCTATAACGATATAGTATCAATTTAACATAAACAAAAGTCATAAACACCATATGCATATGTCTAGTGTACGGTTGCCGGAATTGTTGTACGTTGGTATGAATGTTCGTACGTTAGTTCGGTTATGTTTTTTTTAAGATTGTTTTAGTTATATATTATATAATGTTCGGTCAAAGGATCGTAATTCGATAGGATATTTTTCCAAGAAATCAAATTTCTACTACAAGATCATTTAGAAAAAATAAAAATAACCATAATTCTTTCCTAATGGATACAGTATGATATTAAAAATAGAATAATTTTCTTGTGTTCATATATTTATAAAAATAGGTGAATTTACTTCTTTATATGTTTTAAGGATTAAAACTGCGTACTTTTACTTAAAGTTATGTCATTATGCAAATTGTAAAAGGAAATATTCACGAGGTTAATTACAAATGAGCGAACTCATCGTCGGTGTTCTTTCGCTTCTCCGTGAAGATGCGGAAATGAACATAAACACAGAACTTTTACTGACACGGATAGAGGTGGATGAGCGCACCGAAGTTTACCAGAAATAGTTTGCATTCAATATATACATAAAAAGCAACAAGACTAAAATAGTGGGAAAGAACGCAACTAAAATAATGTTCATTGAGCCGTGACGAACTGCAAATAAATGCACAATCATTCGCGTAAAAGAATGAAGGAACGCAGCTATCCTGATTTGTAATTCCTTGCGTGCAACGAAACTCCGGGAAATTTGTAAGCAGTTCAAAAAGTTTTATTTATTACCAAAAATAGACGGGTAAACGGTTAATCGTGGATTCCGCGAAGGTATTCGACTTAACTGTAATGGGAGCCTGGGATTAGTGCAAGTTAACAATCAGTTTCCTTTTGCTCGTCATCTTATTTTTACTCTTTTCTTTTGTAAGCTGATAGAAAATAGAGGAGAGAACGGAATGAAAAAGGAAACTCGAGGTTGAGTTGCCATTCATGGCTGTGAAATTAAATGGGACACTTTTTAAGTCCCCTCTCAGTACATGCAATTATTAGTTTACTAACGACTACCAATAACACACTTTCTTCGTATTGTGAAGAGCGAAGAAATAAATTGTGTAATTACATACGGAGTGGAGAAGAAGAGCCGTTCGATAAATTCTCCCATCGAACTTTCACGCGGTTTGCTTGCTTCTGCACACTCAAAGAACATAAAAAGATGATATGAGCTAAACGTGTTAAGAGAGGAGAAAAACGGTGAAGCCGAGTGAAGAACGCTTGCTGTTTCAGATTTTCAATTACTTTTTAATAATATAAGATTAATATCTTGAAAGAAAATCAATTACATCCCAGTGCAGTACACTTATAATGAGCCATTTTCTCTGTAAAGGATGTTGTTAAGGTTGAAATTTCACGTTAACACAATTAGCGTTTCCTAATTCGGTTATAGCAACTGCAGTCTAAATTAAATAGGAAAAGCGAAGTCTTTATCAGCAACATCATTTAAGACGCCAACATTGCCTATAGCTCTCATCATTTAGATAAAATATTATATAACGGTTTGATAATATTACTAATGATAATAACTATTTATATAATTTGTATCTCATCGTATACGATAAACTAGAGTTACAATAAAAGTTTGAATCATAATTATATTTGCTTCTAAGCAACCAGTGGTAATATTTAATTTATAAAAAAAAGTTATAAATTTATTATATTTTAGCTTCTTCTTTTTGTACTTAATTATTTCTGCTATTTGAAGTAATCATATTTTTCAGTAAGGATTGAAGTATGGTTAAAAAAATTTCAATATAAAGATCATGCGTAGGTACAATTTTGGATTATCAAATATATAAACATAATTGTTTCAATAAGAATAACAAAAAAAGTATTACATATATATACAATTTGAAATTATGTCTAAAAAACTTACAAAGTACATTAAGCTAATGCAAAGTAATTGTGAATTCTAATAGACATGTGTTGTGTTATCCCAGTGATTCCCAAAGTGGTCTATATCGAGCCCCAGGGGTCTATGACAACCTGCAAGGGGTCTACGTCAGCGAAAAGAAAATTTGGGGGTCCATGAAATGAAAATAGGGGTCCACGATGGTGTATCTCAACATACACTGATAGTACCTATTTACTTACATTATACTATCTTATAATATAAAGACATATACATTATTTATATATGTTTATAAAATTGTGTAAGTTGTAGGATGTAGGCATTCGCTTTGTGGTCCCAATACATTTTGAATTTGTAAAAACCTGCACATAATGATATACCAGTATCATCTTGTTACAAGCATATGCGCAGTCTCAGAGCAAAGATCTTAATAATTATAAAGATGTCCCAATATAAATAATAAATTTACAAAAAATCAATATCAGGTAAGTAGGGGGTCTACCCAAAACCGAAAAACATGGCAAGGGGTCTACGACACAAAAAAGTTTGGGAACCTCTGTGTTAGCCGGAACGTACATTTTGCAAAAAACTCAAGCATCATTTTCAGAATATAGATATTTTAATCAGCCGTCGACTAACCAGTTTTATATTATTGTACGTTGGTATGCATATTTCTAAATAAGTCAGGTCAGTGTTTCTAATTAATCATGTACTTATTATTGAACGTACGTTAAAGGAGCATTAACTGTAAATAACTAAAAAAAATAAAATTTATAAAATGAATTATAAATCTAGGAAAAGAAAATAAAATGAAATTTATGACAGTTTCCTGATTAATATTACACTTAAAATTCATAATATAGTTAAAGTAATTGAAGAGACGATTGACTTAATAAATACGAGCTGTCATATACAGTGAAATAATGTTTTTAAAATATAAAAATAATATAAATTGCAAGCAAGTCGAAAGTAAAACAAAAATGGCACGTAGAGAAAGTACTTCGGAGAATGCACATCACGAGTCGATTCGAAATTAATTAAAACAAGGAAGAACCGTAATATCGGAGACATTTGATCGCTGACAGCGTATTTCAATTATTCAGAGAAACGACGTCGGTTAAGCATATTTTACAGTCGACTGCTAAATCAAATACCCATTAAAACGTTGCATTCTATTTATATGCTCACCATATTTTTTTTTATATGTATCTTTTGTTTCGTGTTCAAAGCATGCGGTAATTACGTAAAGCAGTGTAGATTCTTAATGCGCGGAAATGAGTTTCATGAAACGTGTTCGGATATAACGTCATTTTATTGTTGGATTTTTTAACAATATATAAATTTCATTTAAAATATTTTCTATAGGTAATTACATGCTTTCTAACTTTGACTTTTTCCTATGTTATATGAGGTAATTGTAATAGGATTTTGATATTCGTTAGTAGAATGAGCATCTTCAATCAATCATTAACGTATCCATTCACAATTATTTTTTTTTTAAACATAAGAAATTGAACGTCTGTTATTATAGTATATAATTTGATTATTTGAGATGTAATATACACATCTTATCTTGAAGTATTATACTTAAACACGGCTGTAAATAATATTTTTTTATTACAACTATCGGTGAACGAACAATTCTAACTACGAACAAATATTCGGATAAGGAATACTTTAATACA